CATCAGCAACCAAAGAATACCAAACATACATCAGCAACCAAAGAATACCAAACATACATCAGCAACCAAAGAATACCAAACACACATCAACAACCAAGGAATACCAAACACACATCAACAACCAAGGAATACCAAACATACATCAGCAACCAAGGAATACCAAACATACATCAGCAACCAAGGAATACCAAACACACATCAACAACCAAGGAATACCAAACATACATCAGCAACCAAGGAATACCAAACATACATCAGCAACCAAAGAATACCAAACATACATCAGCAACCAAAGAATACCAAACATACATCAGCAACCAAAGAATACCAAACATACACCAGCAACCAAAGAATACCAAACAAACATCAGCAACCAAGGAACACCAAACACACATCAACAACCAAAGAATACTAAACATACATCAGCAACCAAGGAATACTAAACAAACATCAGCAACCAATGAATACCAAACATACACCAGCAACCAAAGAATACCAAACAAACATCAGCAACCAATGAATACCAAACATACATCAGCAACCAATGAATACCAAACATACATCAGCAACCAATGAATACCAAACATACATCAGCAACCAAAGAATACCAAACATACATCAGCAACCAAGGAATACTAAACATACGTCAGCAACCAATGAATACCAAACATACATCAGCAACCAATGAATACCAAACATACATCAGCAACCAAAGAATACCAAACATACATCAGCAACCAAGGAATACTAAACATACATCAGCAACCAAAGAATACCAAACATACATCAGCAACCAAAGAATACCAAACATACATCAGAAACCAAAGAATACCAAACATACATCAGCAACCAAAGAATACCAAACATACATCAGCAACCAAGGAATACCAAACATACATCAGCAACCAAGGAATACTAAACATACATCAGCAACCAAGGAATACCAAACATACATCAGCAACCAAGGAATACTAAACATACATCAGCAACCAAAGAATACCAAACATACATCAGAAACCAAAGAATACCAAACATACATCAGCAACCAAAGAATACCAAACATACATCAGCAACCAAAGAATACCAAACATACATCAGCAACCAAAGAATACCAAACATACATCAGCAACCAAAGAATACCAAACACACATCAACAACCAAGGAATACCAAACACACATCAACAACCAAGGAATACCAAACATACATCAGCAACCAAGGAATACCAAACATACATCAGCAACCAAGGAATACCAAACACACATCAACAACCAAGGAATACCAAACATACATCAGCAACCAAGGAATACCAAACATACATCAGCAACCAAAGAATACCAAACATACATCAGCAACCAAAGAATACCAAACATACATCAGCAACCAAAGAATACCAAACATACACCAGCAACCAAAGAATACCAAACAAACATCAGCAACCAAGGAACACCAAACACACATCAACAACCAAAGAATACTAAACATACATCAGCAACCAAGGAATACTAAACAAACATCAGCAACCAATGAATACCAAACATACACCAGCAACCAAAGAATACCAAACAAACATCAGCAACCAAGGAACACCAAACACACATCAACAACCAAAGAATACTAACCATACATCAGCAACCAAGGAATACTAAACAAACATCAGCAACCAATGAATACCAAACATACACCAGCAACCAAAGAATACCAAACAAACATCAGCAACCAAGGAACACCAAACACACATCAACAACCAAAGAATACTAAACATACATCAGCAACCAAAGAATACCAAACATACATCAGCAACCAAAGAATACCAAACATACATCAGCAACCAAAGAATACCAAACACACATCAACAACCAAGGAATACCAAACACACATCAACAACCAAGGAATACCAAACATACATCAGCAACCAAGGAATACCAAACATACATCAGCAACCAAGGAATACCAAACACACATCAACAACCAAGGAATACCAAACATACATCAGCAACCAAGGAATACCAAACATACATCAGCAACCAAAGAATACCAAACATACATCAGCAACCAAAGAATACCAAACATACATTAGCAACCAAAGAATACCAAACATACACCAGCAACCAAAGAATACCAAACAAACATCAGCAACCAAGGAACACCAAACACACATCAACAACCAAAGAATACTAAACATACATCAGCAACCAAGGAATACTAAACAAACATCAGCAACCAATGAATACCAAACATACACCAGCAACCAAAGAATACCAAACAAACATCAGCAACCAATGAATACCAAACATACATCAGCAACCAAGGAATACCAAACATACATCAGCAACCAAGGAATACTAAACATACATCAGCAACCAAAGAATACCAAACATACATCAGCAACCAAAGAATACCAAACATACATCAGAAACCAAAGAATACCAAACATACATCAGCAACCAAAGAATACCAAACATACATCAGCAACCAAGGAATACCAAACATACATCAGCAACCAAGGAATACTAAACATACATCAGCAACCAAGGAATACCAAACATACATCAGCAACCAAGGAATACTAAACATACATCAGCAACCAAAGAATACCAAACATACATCAGAAACCAAAGAATACCAAACATACATCAGCAACCAAAGAATACCAAACATACATCAGCAACCAAAGAATACCAAACATACATCAGCAACCAAAGAATACCAAACATACATCAGCAACCAAAGAATACCAAACACACATCAACAACCAAGGAATACCAAACACACATCAACAACCAAGGAATACCAAACATACATCAGCAACCAAGGAATACCAAACATACATCAGCAACCAAGGAATACCAAACACACATCAACAACCAAGGAATACCAAACATACATCAGCAACCAAGGAATACCAAACATACATCAGCAACCAAAGAATACCAAACATACATCAGCAACCAAAGAATACCAAACATACATCAGCAACCAAAGAATACCAAACATACACCAGCAACCAAAGAATACCAAACAAACATCAGCAACCAAGGAACACCAAACACACATCAACAACCAAAGAATACTAAACATACATCAGCAACCAAGGAATACTAAACAAACATCAGCAACCAATGAATACCAAACATACACCAGCAACCAAAGAATACCAAACAAACATCAGCAACCAAGGAACACCAAACACACATCAACAACCAAAGAATACTAACCATACATCAGCAACCAAGGAATACTAAACAAACATCAGCAACCAATGAATACCAAACATACACCAGCAACCAAAGAATACCAAACAAACATCAGCAACCAAGGAACACCAAACACACATCAACAACCAAAGAATACTAAACATACATCAGCAACCAAGGAATACTAAACAAACATCAGCAACCAAAGAATACCAAACATACATCAGCAACCAAAGAATACCAAACAAACATCAACAACCAAAGAATACCAAACAAACATCAGCAACCAATAAATACCAAACATACATCAGCAACCAAAGAATACTAAACAAACATCAACAACCAAAGAATACCAAACAAACATCAGCGACCAAAGAATACTAAACAAACATCAGCAACCAAAGAATACTAAACAAACATCAGCAACCAAAGAATACCAAACAAACATCAGCAACCAAGGAATACCAAACATACATCAGCGACCAAGGAATACCAAACATATATCAGAAACCAGTCCCTCCCCTCCCTCAGGTTTACGCCCCCCCTCCCTCACGTCAGGGGGGGGGGCTCACGTTACAGTCCATTGCAAGTCTGCACATAGCGGAGCCGCCAACATAGCACACTCTACTTCCTCTATACACCTGGTACTTTGAAGTACCATAACTTAATAATTTGAACACGACCGTGAAATCAGCCTGTTCAAATTTTGTCTGCGCCCATGTATTTGCGCTTACCGTTCGCAGCGTGAAATAATTATTTGTTTGTGTTGGAAATAGGATACATGTTTTTATTTGACTTTAGGAAATCAAATTATTTTTAGTTCAATAAATTGTTTTGGGGAGGGGGGGAAGGGTCATTAATGTCATGCCGACCTGGTGTGAACTGTGGGGCTGGGACAAGGTCAATAAGTTATTCTGGTCACAGGTTGGGTGGAACGGGAAGGGGGGTGAGGGGGGGAGGGGTTCTGTAAATATGAACAGGGGGGACTACCACCGGGCGGAAGAGTTTATGAATGTCGGCGCTGCGCTTATGTGTTTTGTGTACTTAATACTGCATGTAAGCACCGCAGTACCTAACATTACATGTAAGCATCACTGTACTTAACATTACATGTAAGCATCACTCTACTTAACATTACATGTAAGCACCACTCTACTTAACATTACATGTAAGCATCACTCTACTTAACATTACATGTAAGCACCACAGTACTTAAAATTACATGTAAGCACACATTACATGTAAGCATCACCATTTGAAAGTTGTCTCTCTATGTTTACCAACGGCTTGTTTTTATAAAATTTTGAAACATTTCTTTTAGTTCAAATATCCATCACCCTTCTTTATTATTGATTTAAAAAAAAACATTTCTTCTACTTTATCTTTTATTCCTAGAAATTTTTTATTTGTTATCATTTTAAGGTCCTAGACGGATTCATAAATGACTGGTCACTTTATCGTTTAATTTTTTTTTTCACTGAGGTTTTAAGAAACTAGAATCAAATATTTTAAAATATCTTAAGTTGTTATAAATATATTTTAATTTATCTCAGAATCTGGTCTCTCTGAACCTATGAAACATATATATCCCGGAACGATATATTTATCCCGGCAAGACATATATATCCCGGAACGATATATTTATCCCGGCAAGACATATATATCCCGGCACGATATATTTATCCCGGCAAAACATATATATATATATATATATATATATATATATATATATATATATATATATATATATATATATATATATATATATATATATATATATATATATATATATATCAGCAACTTACCCGCAGCCAGAGCTCCCTGCAGCAGTAGAGAAACGAAGAGAACCATTCCTCCAGTCGCCGCCATCTTGTTTTCTCCAAATGCCGACCCGACTCTCTGCCACTCGCACGAGTTCTGCTCACTCTCGGCTTCCTCGCTCAACTTCCGGCTGGCCTTCACCTTCAAGCGACGATCTCAAGGACTCGCCTGCAATGTGGTGAAGAATGGAACGCATGTGAAACGGCTGATAGAGCGAGATTGTGTACGTGACCTTTAGATCAAAGGTTAAAATTTCTGAGTTCTACTGGTCAGTTGGTCACTTTAGACCGAAGGTTAGAATTTCTGAATTCTGATGGTCAGTTGGTCACTTTAGACCGAAGGTTAGAATTTCTGAGTTCTACTGGTCAGTTGGTCGCTTTAGATCACGTGACTCAAACCCTAACCCTCATCATCAGGTTAATATAAAATGTGGTGGCCTTGCGTGACCTAAGGTCAAGGACTGGTTGCTGGGGTGAGGGGGTGGGGTGGGGGGGGGGGGTCGTCAGGGTAATCGTAAATTTCAGTCATAATTAAGGTGACTTCATCAAGTGATGTACAAGTGACTTCATCAAGTCATGTACAGGTGACTTTATCAAGTCATGAAAGGTGACTTATTCAAGTTACGTCCAGGTGACTTTATCAAGTCTTATCCAGATGACTTCAATAAGTCATGCACTTTAAATCATACAAGTCCCAACTATCATCGATTAGAACCACTTATTGTTTAAAGACATGACGTCGGCGCTTGGAAAACGTTTTCTAATTAGTATCTGATTTTAATGAAGTGAAATGTTAGGACGAATCGACTAGATTTAGTGTAAGGTTGATTGAAGACGATTAAGTAATTAAAACTAATTTGGTTCGTCTACAAGGTGTGAAGGATGTAATTACACAAACAACTTACACACCAAGAATGTAATTACACAAACAACTTACAGATCAAGAATGTAATTACAGAAACAACTTACAGACCAAGAATGTAATTACAGAAACAACCTACAGACCAAGAATGTAATTACAGAAACAACTTACAGACCAAGAACGTAATTACAGAAACAATTTACACACTAAGAATGTAATTACACAAACAACTTACACACCAAGAATGTAATTACACAAACACCTTACACACCAAGAATGTAATTACAGAAACAACTTACAGACAGAAACAACTTACACACCAAGAATGTAATTACACAAACAACTTACACACCAAGAATGTAATTACACAAACAACTTACACACCAAGAATGTAATTACACAAACAACTTACACACCAAGAATGTAATTACACAAACAACTTACACACCAATTACTTAGCAGCACCACACGCCAAGAGACAGGCAAATAGTTGCAGCCAACAGATAAGATTCCTGCAGGGGACGAGACTCTTTGACGCCAGGGGCGATTACCTCGATTGTTGCCAGAGATGGCGGGCCTTGTCAACTAGCAAGTAAGTCGACGAAAGAAAACCAAACTCTCCGACCCAGACTTTAAATCCTGGGTCCTGGTGTACCGTCCAGAGGGGGGGGGGGGAATTTGGTCGTCATAAAATATAATTTTCACTTTGATTTTATCAGATAGTTTTTTATTTTAATTAACCGAAGAGAAGTTCACATGCCCCCCCCCCCCCCCCCACTTTCCTTGACGTCAGTATACGAGCTACATTTAGATTTCCTGTGGCCGAGTGGCCGAGTGATAGGATCTACAAACCAATCCTGCGGTCCCCCGTAGAATCCCCATCTTCACGTCCGCAGGCTATATTTTTTTACGGAGATCATTCACTTCCGTATTACAGGCGGGATGACGTCAGCACAGTTAAACCTTGGTTTAACTAGTACAATGGTACTAGGTTCAAGTTTTAACGGGATTTCGTGACCCCCTTCGTTTAGTAATTTATTCTAAAAATAGTCCGAGATTGCAATCTGTAGGTACTTGTCGAGATGTAATCGGTTTTATTTGTATCTGTGTGACGTCAGCATTTTTTTACATGAAACCGGAAGTACGGCAGTACTTAGCTTTTTCTCAAACAGGAGTGGACATATAAAGGTAAACGAAAAGGTGTCCTAACTGGCAGATGCGCCTCACTGGGGTGGTGTAGATTCGTGCCCCAGGGGAGGCGCGCCTTGCTTGGGGGGTGGGGGGGGGGTCCTCACAAGGGAGGCACATAGTGCCACAAGGGAGGTGTAGACTAGTGTTGTCACAGGGGTCAGGGGGGGGGAGGTGGCGCCTCAATGGGGAGGCGTATACCATGGTCATATGGTGGGTGGGGGGTGGGGGTGGCCACAAGGGCAATAACCGAAAGGATAGTAGCAGTACCAATGTCTACAAACGTTTAGATAGAAATCATGTCATTGGGGGCAGAGGGGCACTCGATGCAATGTCTAATGGTAGGACAGATATTAGGATCGATTTGTAGGCATTTGAGAGTAACCGAATGTACACTTTTAAGCTTACTACACGCTTACACCTGTCTGCCGCAACTATAAATACAAACTTGTAATCTTATCCAGGTTTTCTACTCAAGTTTCATGCGACTGAATGCTAGTGTTACGTAGTCCTGTGGCGGGATCGTTTGTTGGTGTGTGGGTTTGTGGGTATGTTGGTGTGTGAGTATGTTGGTGTGTGGGTATTTTTGTGTGTGGGTATGTTGGTGTATTGGTGTGTGGCTGTGAGAGTGTGGGTGTGTGGTTGTGGTGGTGTATGGGTGTGTGGGTGTGTTGGTGAGTGGGTATGTTGGTGTGTGGGTGTGTTAGTATGTTGGTGTGTGGGTGTGTTAGTATGTTGGTGTGTGGGTATGTGGGTATGTTGGAGTGTGTGTGTTACGTATATCCACCTGTAACAATGACATGAATGTAACTGCCTGCTCTACATGGCGGACATGCACGATGTCATTAAAAATAGTAGACGGCAATAGCCACACACACACACACACACACACATTGTATCATCAACAGAGAGAAACAGGGGGGGGGTCAAAGGGGAGAGTTCATGTCAGCTCAGATATCAAACACGGCTTGTGAGATCATTCACAGAGAACATTCATGACTCGTCTGACAAGACAAACAACTCAAAATGTAAGCTAATCCGCAATAAGTGATACATATAGCCCTTTTGTATACAGGTCCCACACACGCATTTATGTATATTTATGTATATGTATATGTATATATATATATATATATATATATATATATATATATATATATATATATATATATATATATATATATATATATATATATATATATATATATATATATATATATATATATATATATATATATACATATATATATATATATATATATATATATATATATATATATATATATATATATATCCAAGCTGTAGTATTGCCCACACACCGTTTTTAACGAAGACAATTAATTTACCTTAAGACTAATCGAATCCAATGATTTTCTTAACACAAATCAGATCCTCAAAGTCTGGCTACGATGTCTTTTAAGCCAGAGACATATGCATGTGACAGTTATGTCTTGGTCTCTGGCCGCTAGTTGTCTTGTCTGTCTGAGGTTATGTCACCTGCCGCCTGAGCAGAACTGATACCCAGAGAGCTGGCGTACCCACCTTTTATAGGTGTCTGCAGGTAGGTAGTCTGCGTACTCGGGGGGAATTAATCGAAAACAAATTCAATCTTTGTGTGACGAGGGCCGGGGCTTAGAGCGGCATGCTAAACAGGTATCAAACTTAATAGGCGCCCTCAAGGTAGGCTGATAACATCTAAAGGATAAGATTAACGGGGGTCCCTACCTGAGATTAACGGGGGTCCCTAGCTGAACCTGACCCCCGTCATCACCAACCCAACACCTTTTGCCGTCATAACGCCCCCCCCCCGTGATGTTGTCATACAGAGATAACGACGGCTTACATATCTGATATCTGTAGATATCTGTGATGTAACTGGCCAGTAACTGGCGCTATCTGCTTGTTGGACGAACGTCTTACAACTTCCGGTTTGTTGGCGCGCTTGTAAAACCAGTGGTTCGTGACTTCACCAAAACAATGCATGTACTAATTAATTATTTGAGGCAGATTATTCTCTTGTGGAGGAATTCAATGTCTGCGGTAGATTTTTATAGCGCTGACATAGTTGACGTATTTAATCACATATTAAGTGGTGTCGAGGTGGGGCTGATGGGGTTGGGGAGGGGGGAGGTTGAGCTAAGGACTCCGGTGCCAATGGATGGAGTGACACCTGATAAAAAAATTGCAGAAGTCACCTGGCATCTATTTGAAGTTCAATACACTTTTTTGTGCCTCATGACACGGTGAGGGGTGGGCGGGAGTGGGGGGGGGGGGTGACAACCTGTGTTATCATACCACGTGAGGCCCAACCTGGTGACGCCAATGAAAAAAGAAATAAAATAGACAACGACGTTTGAAATTTAATATTAAGATGAAATAGACTCTGTGCCCCTGTATGTTTGTGGAAGACATAAGTATGGTAAAAAAATTGATCGCCGTTGTGAAATATATTCTTGAATTGTTCATTTTTGTTCTAAAATAGAAATCAATGATTAAAAAACTCAAAATTGATAATTTGCAAACTAAATTTACATTTTACAACTTATCATTTTGATTTACGTAATATGCAAAGAAATAAATGAAACTAAATGTATTACCCTTTACAAAAATTTCAATGTTGTTTGAAAAAATTATACACATTACGTCCCTTTGTATTAATTACTTCCCAGAAAAATAAAAACTACTTTTAAAAAATTGGTTTTGATATTGAAAAAAAAAACCAACAACAATTATCTGGTTAGCATGGTTTGATAAAGTGCTATATAGTAGGCCAAACACAGGTATTTCAAATACTGCCGTATAGTTATTTTACCCACTGAATATAATGTTTTTTAATTATTATTTTTGATAAATAACAGTTAAGAAGTTGTTGTTCTTATATGTCTTCTATGTTGAATTTTGAGTTTGCGTTTGTGTTTGCGTTAGCGTTTGTGTTTGTGTTTACTTTAAGTTTGCGTTTGTTTTTTGTTTGCGTTTTTGTTTGCGTTTGCGTTTGTGTTTTTGTTTGCGTTTGCTTTTGTTTTTGCGTTTGTGTTTTGGTTTTCGTTGTTGTTGGTTGAGGTTAGGGTTAAGTTTAGAGTAAGACTTAGGTTTAGGTTTAGGTTTTTGTTTTATTTTCTCATACGTCTATATTTGCACATAGACATTTAATTGATAAGTAATATATTTCCTAAACCCGGGCAATGCCGGGTATATGCTGCTTAATAAACACCCAAGTCACGGTCCCTTACAGATAGGTTTTTCACAGAGGCCAGTGCAGAACCTTGCCGGGACGGCTAGTAAAAATATAAAGACTCGAATTATGACTGTTCACCTTACACACACACCTAATGTAACCTGTAAACTTTGCGTCACTTCCCTGTTCGTATCACTCTCACACCCGTATCACCCCCAGATCCGGGTCACGTGTACATCCGCTAGCCCCGCCCACGACTCTCCAATTACCTAAAGTGCATGCAACAAGATTCCCCCCCCCCCCCCTTGTTAGAGGTCTTTATGAAACTGACGTCAGCTTCTACAAAAATCCATCATTATTACGTCATGACGGTGTGGAGTGTGACCTGACTACGTCATCAACTCGTCGTGTGTCGGTAATTCTCTGTTGCACTTTGACCTAGTCACCGCCCCCTAGCCGCTATCGTCTTCATCTATCCCCCTCCGTCACCGACCTCATCCATCTAACTCTCCATCATCGCCTTCATCTAGCCTTATTCAATTTGTTTTAATGCGTTTTTTATAGTCTCCCCCTCCAGGCTTTGAAAACCAATCCGTTACGTCAGCATAAATTAGCATAAATTAGCGGCCTTGAGTTGAAAACGCAAGAGCTGTGATCGGCAATAATCCTGACCTAAGTTAGAGGTAATCTGGACTTTGGTTATCAGAGGATATAATGAGATGATAAACTCACCTACAATCGTCATCAAATTATCTCGCGCTAATTAAACCAAAAAAAATACCACACGGAACAAAGATTTTATGTTGTAAAACAATGTTGAGAGGGGGGGGGGGGTCTTTAAATACGGAGGCGGAGGGGCGGGGGTTCATAAAAAAAAAGGAAATATTTAAAAAAAAACTGTTTATATTTCCGTTAGCCCATTTCTGATGTTGATATTTCCGTTAGCCCATTTCTGATGTTGATAGATATATTTCCTTTAGCCCATTTCGTATGTTGATATTTCCGTTAGCCCATTTCTGATGTTAATAGATATATTTCCGTTAGCCCATTTCTAATGTTGATAGATATATTTCCGTTAGCCCATTTTGTATGTTGATATTTCCGTTAGCCCATTTCTGATGTTGATAGATATATTTCCGTTAGCCCATTTCTGATGTTGATAGATATATTTCCGTTAGCCCATTTCGTATGTTGATATTTCCGTTAACCCATTTCTGATGTTGATAGATATATTTCCGTTAGCCCATTTCGTATGTTCATATTTCCGTTAACCCATTTCTGATGTTGATAGATATATTTCCGTTAGCCCATTTCGTATGTTGATATTTCCGTTAGCCCATTTCTGATGTTGATATATCCGAAAGCCTATTTCTGATGTTGATAGATATATTTCCGTAAGCCTATTTCTGATGTTGATATTTCCGTAAGCCTATTTCTAATGTTGATATTTCTGTGCTATTATACCTAGTACGCGCATTTCTCCTTGCAAAACTTTACTTGGGATATTTAAATAAAAAACTTTGTAATAAAGTTAATTTGTTAATCATTGAGGTCCAATACCCGCTTTTTTTTTTACTTTTCCACCGTGGCCTATATTTGTTTGTCCTGTCGGTCAGATGTCCCAACTTTAAGAAAATTCCCAGGACCTAGACACCAGAACCGCCCACCCGAAGACCCCACGGGACGCCCGACGGCCAGAGTTTCTCCCTCCAGTCACGTGATGCCAACCACTTCAGACTTTTATCCCGACACTGGACACCCCCTTGATCACGTGACACCAACCACTTCAAACTTTAATCCCGACACCCACTTGATGTTGTTGGTTAACGGAGGACGTCGGAATAGACGTCAGAACCGCCAACTAATCCACGGATAAATTGTTTCAAAAACCAGCGTATCATGTGACTCGACTACAAACCGTTCTACCCAATGGCGTCGCTAGGTGGGGTGCTATTTAGTGTGTGTGTGGGGGGGGGGGGGGGCAACGACGTCGCTCCGACGCGCCAAAAGAGAATAAATGATGTCTTTTATTTCTACTTTTTCGTGGTAAAAAAATAAAAAATTCTTTTCTAGAAAAATTATCCGATCAGATATTTTGTTATGCAAGCAACAGTGGAGACAAACCCTACAAAAATGTGCGGATCGTCTGCGTGACGATGTCATGGCAGGAGTTGTTTGGTGAATACGCCAAGCGCGTCAAAGAAAAAAAAATCGCTCGCTAGGGTTTTTCTAATGTGGGTTACCTCATTCCGTTTTTTTTTTTTTTTTTTTTTTTTGAAACTCATAAAATTTAAATCAAATGGAGCGAAACACAAAATGTGGGTAGGGGCCTACTTGTATTGAGGATGTTACATAGCAAACACTACCTTCACGTGTTGCGACACGTGATGCGCTGATAAAAATAGACTTCCTATTCACCTGTTGTCACATGGCGCTGATCTATTTATAGACAAGCGCCATGCTAAAGATGTCCGCCTTCAATTTTTTGTTAAAAAAAGTTTTGTGGTCAGCTCAAAAATGTGAACTTTAATTTAATTTAATTGTGTAAATCGTGTAACCATTGTAATCTGACTGTAATAATTGGGTGCTTATTATATTTTGCACATATGTGTCATTTATTCGTTATTTGTCCGTTACTCTCTGTATATTAATGTAAAAGGTACATTGTAAATATTATAAAAAACATATTGTATGTGATTTACTGAAAAATTATGATGTAAATGGAAAAGTATATTTTCCTTCACATTAAAATAATTACCATCAATAAAAAAAAAAGATTGAAGATCACTTCTAAAAATAAATCATAGTTTAGAATAGACGTGGACTCCCTAAGCCATGATTTACTTTCTAACAGATTTCAAGGAGATAAAACCCATCAGACACAGAGACCACTCTACAGGGTCATTCGTTAACCTGAGTCAAATCTTTGCTGGCTATGTTATGTGGTATCTCTCGATTTCTGTCAAATCTTTGCTGGCTATGTTATGTGGCATCTCTCGATTTCTGTCAAATCTTTGCTGGCTATGTTATGTGGTATCTCTCGATTTCTAGAAGACAATGGCGGCATCGTCTCACAGCTTAGCTTCACTCTCTTAAAGGTCGAGGTAACGACCATCTTTAGACCTACCACATAGCAACAGACCGACCACCACTACCCTAAGCCCGACCAACATCACGTCTTTCAAGTCACGGATGCTCGTCAGATTTTTTGTTGCTGTCCTGGTGTGGCAGAGTGATAATGTCGAGTTTGTGGGCGGTTCATCCAAATTCTGTTGTCATGATCTTTTGGGCGGTTCATCCAGATTTTGTTGTCATGATCTTTTGGGCGGTTCATCCACATTTTGTTGTCATCATCTTGTAGGTGGTTTATCCACATTCTGTTGTCATGATCTTTTGGGCGGTTCATCCAGATTCTGTTGTCATGATCTTTTGGGCGGTTCATCCACATTCTGTTGTCATGATCTTTTGGGCGGTTTATCCAGATTCTGTTGTCATGATCTTTTGGGCGGTTCATCCACATTTTGTTGTCATCATCTTGTAGGTGGTTTATCCAGATTCTGTTGTCATGATCTTTTGGGCGGTTTATCCAGATTCTGTTGTCATGATCTTTTGGGCGGTTCATCCAGATTTTGTTGTCATCATCTTGTAGGTGGTTTATCCACATTTTGTTGTCATGATCTTTTGGGCGGTTCATCCAGATTTTGTTGTCATCATCTTGTAGGTGGTTTATCCACATTTTGTTGTCATGATCTTTTGGGCGGTTCATCCAGATTTTGTTGTCATGATCTTTTGGGCGGTTCATCCAGATTTTGTTGTCATGATCTTTTGGGCGGTTCATCCACATTCTGTTACCATGACCTACAAACACGAGAACCTTGACCCTGGCGAACCAGACAGCTCTGGAGATCAAGTGGATTCCATCGTGACGACGACGGCCTTGATACCACAGAGTTCAGTCAGGCGTGTCAAGAATGTTGAACCAGTCTCAAGAATGTTGAACCAGTTTCAAGAATGTTGAACCAGTCTCAAGAATGTTGAACCAGTTTCAAGAATGTTGAACCAGTCTCAAGAATGTTGAACCAGCTTCAAGTCCGATTGTCAGGGGATTGTTTCTTGTGGGAGATTTCCTGAGGCAGCTGCTACACCCATCTGCCCCCACACATTTCTACCCCACAGGATGTCCCCACACATTTCTCCCCCAAAGCCTGTCCCCACACATTTCTTCCCCAAAGCCTGTCCTCACACATTTCTACCCCGCAGGATGTCCCCACACATTTCTTTCTCACATGATGTCCCCACACAATTCTCCCCCCACAGATTGTCCACACAAAATTCTCCCCCAAAGTCTGTCCCCACACAATTCTCCCCCAAAGCCTGTCACCACACAATTCTCCCCCACACAATTCTCACCCACAGATTGTCAACATAAAACTCTCCCCCCCCACAGGATGTCCACACAAAATTCTCCCCCACACGATTCTCCCCTCCCCCACAGGAGATGTCCCCACACAATTCTCCCCCACAGCTTGTCCCCACACAATTCTCCCCCACAGCCTGTCCCCACACAATTCTCCCCCACAGCCTGTCCCCACACAATTCTCCCCCACACAATTCTCCCCCACAGCCTGTCCCCACACAATTCTCCCCCCAAAGTCTGTCCCCACACAATTCTCCCCCCACAGCCTGTCCCCACACAATTCTACCCCCAAAGTCTGTCCCCACACAATTCTTCCCCACACAATTCTCTCCCAAAGCCTGTCCCCACACAATTCTCCCCCAAGCCTGTCCCCACACAATTCTCCCCCCCCCCCAAAGTCTGTCCCCACACAATTCTCCCCCCAAAGTCTGTCCCCACACAATTCTCCCCCCCACAGCCTGTCCCCACACAATTCTACCCCACACAATTCTCCCCCACAGCCTGTCCCCACACAATTCTCCCCCCAAAGTCTGTCCCCACACAATTCTCCCCCCACAGCCTGTCCCCACACAATTGTACCCCCACAGCAAGCTAGCAATATCTAGTTCAATTAAAAAATGATGGTAAACAGTCTCTAAGCTAAGACGGCTACATTGAATCAGATCACGGTACTCTACAGTGCCTTTAGTTCAGGCTTTCATTGTGTTTGTCGTGCCTAGTTCGTCTCTTCCCCTCCCCCCCCACACACACAACACGCCATACTGAACTCGTCCAACCCTCCCACCCCCAGCCCCCCCCCCTCTAGATGTAAACAGGTTATAAACATTTCCCAGCATGTTGATATGACGTCACGTCCCCCGACCCCGTCCCTCACTGAGGAAGGTTTAGAACCCATCAACTCCGGGCCATCGGGCCATCCTAACGTGGCCAGAACACGATCTGTTTTATTGCTTGTAAGGGCCACACGTAAACCCAACAGCTCAAGAGCCACATCAAAACGGTAAACTCGGCTCACGTGTGTCGGGGTGTGATGGCTCCATTCATACATCAAGGAAATACCAGTTTTTAAAGAACCCGTTTAGACGAATGGCTTAGTTCAATTAGTAATTCATTGAATGCTCTCACGTTGTGGAAACGTGTTTTTCTATGAGAATTTTTGAGTTAAAAAAGAAATAGATAATTCATGTTATGTTAGATCAAGCGTGAAAATGTTTTATTGAATGTTTGGGAAATGATTTTAATTTTGCTCTAAATTAACAATTTATGGCCAATGCCACACATGTCACTACGTCAGTGGCGTCGCTAGGTTGGTGTCACCCGGTGCGGCACTTTGTGGTGTCACCCCCCCCCCCCTCCTAAGAAACAATATATATATATATATATATATATATATATATATATATATATATATATATATATATATATATATATATATATATATATATATATATATATATGTATATATATATATATATATATGTGTGTGTGTGTGTGTGTGTGTGTATGTGTGTGAGTGTGTGTGTGTGTGCGTGTGTGTGTGTGTGTGTGTGTCGGCCTACTTAACAGTAACGATGTTTATCTATAGTTTGTCAATAATACACTTGTATGTAGCATTGTTTACGTCATAGTGTCACCCCCACCCTCTGGTAATAATTGTAGATTTGTACTTCAAAGACTATTTAGCTTTAATTAATCATTAATGGAACTGGCAAAAAAAGTATTTTTCGTTTGTACATTTTAAATTTTTTGCCATAATGCCACCCCCTAAATTGTTTCACCCCCGCCCCACCCTCGCTACGCCTCTGCACTATGTCATGGCGTCACAACCTACTCTTGTTGTGCAACCTTCTACAACGTACGGGGTTAAGAAACCCGAATTCGGTCAGGAAAAGCCGTTCAAGGCCAACCGACCAATCAAAACCCGTATTACCAGCTGACCTCACGAAGCCAAATCTGAAAACGAGGCTGGTGTTCCAGTACATTCGAACGCCGCCATATCAATGAACTCACTGTTGGTACGTCCCAGCGTATGAATGCTCTATTCTTGGTAGGAAATTGAAAAAAATCTATTCAACTTATTTGCATAATTTTGCCACATTCTTTTCTTGACTTACGCAATGAAACGTGCCTTGGGCACAGTGGGTTGATTCATGAGATAGACATATGATTGGGGTGCTGGGGGGGGGGGGGGGGTGCTGAGGGGTGGGGGTGACACGGTTCAATGGTAATCTGCCTGTCACAGCTCAACAAGCAGGGGTTCCCACTTCTTGACACCACAGGTGGTACAACTGACGCTAGCTGCTGATGGTACAGTTGATGCTAACTTGGTACAACTAGCTGCTGATGGTACAGTTGATGCTAACTTGGTACAACTAGCTGCTGATGGTACAGTTGATGCTAACTTGGTACAACTAGCTGCTGATGGTACAGTTGATGCTAACTTGGTACAACTAGCTGCTGATGGTACAGTTGATGCTAACTTGGTACAACTGATTCTAGCTGCTGATGGTACAGTTGATGCTAACTTGGTACAACTGATTCTAGCTGCTGATGGTACAGTTGATGCTAACTTGGTACAACTGATTCTAGCTGCTGATGGTACAGTTGAAGCTAACTTGGTACAACTAGCTGCTGATGGTACAGTTGAAGCTAACTTGGTACAACTAGCTGCTGATGGTACAGTTGAAGCTAACTTGGTACAACTAGCTGCTGGTGGTACAACTGATGTTAGCTGCTGGTGGTACAACTGACGCTAGCTGCTGAGAGTGCCGTTAGTGTACCTATCAAACAGCACCAATGTCATAGACCACTGATTGGTTGAGCATCAAAAGTTGAAACCTACATCATGACCGTTCCTGATTTTTGAACCAACCACAATGTAAATATTTGCTTGGACCACCCAGTCCAACGTATTGCTAAGGCCAACATCTTTTTCTCACGGGCCCAGCGATACATTGTTGATTTACCGTTTTAGAACCTTTTGGAATTTTCTAAAAACTAAATTGTCGTTGTAAAAGTTTGTTGAACAGTTTCATTTTATGTGTTATAAATTCGCATTTTACTTTGTTTATGCAGATAAAAGTCCAAGTAAAAACGATAAAGCGGGAGTGATCTCCCCTAAACTTTCTGGAATATTTTTTATAATATAACACTACGGGGATAGCAACTCGGGATATAGACATGATTTTTAATCAGTTTTTACGTACAATAAACGTTAAAAAAATAGAATAGAACAGAATCTTGTACAAAAAATAATTGCGCACCAAGTGAACGGCAAACAATATATATATGTAATAGTGGGGAATATTAGTCTTTATAAATTCATATTCGTTTTTTTTTGCGTAAATTACTACTTCCGGTAAACGGAAATTATTCAAAATTTGATAGAAAGCAGAAGATTAGATCTTTTACTTACATGTGAAATTTCGTCTATCTATCTAAAAGAATACCCAAGTTATAGGCTTTTTGAAAAACTAAAAGTAGAATAAGTACCACTTCCGGTCACCGGAAATCGATGAAAAGTTTATACAGAACTACAAATTTGATATAATACTTATATATTTTATCAACCTAGCTGTAACAGTACTTAAGTTATCGTGTTCACATACATACACACACACGTACACGTATACGGACAAAATTGCAAAACTATGTTTTTCCGACTCAGGGATTTTTTACACGATAACAATACTTCCTCTATACTTCAATAGTGAAGGCTCCCCTCTTGAGTTACGCCACTGAACTAGGTATACCATCAGTAGACAAACAACTAAACTAGGTATACCATCAGTAGACAAACAGCTGAACTAGGTATACCATCAGTAGACAAACAGCTGAACTAGGTATACCATCAGTAGACAAACAGCTGAACTAGGTATACCATCAGTAGACAAACAGCTGAACTAGGTATACCATCAGTAGACAAACAACTAAACTAGGTATACCATCAGTAGACAAACAGCTGAACTAGGTATACCATCAGTAGACAAACAGCTGAACTAGGTATACCATCAGTAGACAAACAGCTGAACTAGATATACCATCAGTAGACAAACAGCTGAACTAGATATACCATCAGTAGACAAACAGCTGAACTAGGTATACCATCAGTAGACAAACAGCTGAACTAGGTATACCATCAGTAGACAAACAGCTGAACTAGGTATACCATCAGTAGACAAACAGCTGAACTAGATATACCATCAGTAGACAAACAGCTGAACTAGATATACCATCAGTAGACAAACAACTGACTGAGCTGCGCTACATTTTACCCGCGGCCTCCTTGTTGGCGCTGCTCTTTGTACATCAACATAGAACAAATGCCGCCTGGGCCAACCACCCCCTCCTCCCCTCCTGGGTTACGCCACTGAACTGTTTTTCAGGCTGGATAACTCTACTAAATCAACGCAGTTTCGCAGTAATCG